ACTCACACACACACTGGAACTGTTACACACACATACTGTCCCACACATACACTGCATTCCTGACATACACTGCCGCCCTCACTCACATACTACAGCCTTCACACACACACACTGCTCACACACTGTCCCCCTCTCACACACACACACACACACATACTGCACCCCTTACACATTGCACCACTCACACACACCACTGCTCATATGCCCTACTACAGCCCCATTTCCCAGCAGACCTCAGGTAAGTTGTCAAACTGTTCTTAAATGGTTTGACTACTTACTCTGGGAGGGGGTCCCGGCACTATTGACACCATAACCACTACACTGAGCTGTAGTGGTTATTGTGTCTGGATTATTTCTTTAAATAATCTACAAGTGCCCCTCCCGAGATCAGGCTCCGGATCCGCCACTGCCTCTACCCTAAACCTAACGCTAAGAACCCTAAATCTACCGCTAACCCTCAGTCCACCTTAAACCTAACACTAACCCTACCCTAAACCCTTGTATCCCTTAACCTTCTGTCTATCCTCTACCTGAACCCTAAATCTACCCCTAATCCTTCCCTAACCCTCAGTACTCCTTAGTCCTACACCTAAACATAAGTATCCCTTAACCCTATGTCTAACCCCTACCCTAACCCTAAGAACCCTTAATGCTACCCCTCACTCTACCCTAACCTGAAATCCCCCTGCCTTTGCCCATGGTATCATCTTACACCTTCTCTAGCACTGTGTACTCCTAACAAAAGACATGTTGCTATAAAGAGTACCGTATTGAATACAATGTTATTAGTGCCATTCATTAATGATCAACATTTGGAGCTTCCTGTTTTGATGCCAGTGTTGGACAGCAATTGGTGTAAGTGGAAGTCTGCTTTTAGAAATCAGAGGATTGACACTATAGAAACAAACTTTACTCAGCGTTTAAGAGCAAATGCCAGTTACTGAATGGATTGTGTTGCCTGTGTGGCTATTTTCCTGTGGACAGATGGTTTGTTTGTTCTGCCATTTCTTCCCCCTAACCGGGATGCATCTTGAACGCAGGTTATAGTTTAGAAAAGCGTTGCGTGTGTTTATTTTGATAGTGCAGCCTACTAAATCAAGCCAATATACAGGTGCTGAAAGGATGTGAAAAATGTGTCTTATACTGTACATTTTGCTGGAATGGGGGAATCAGCAGGAATTTTGTGCAGTCAGTAAATCTACATAATCACTCTGGGAAAATGACCAAACACATGGGATGTATTTAGGGATAAACATGAACATTTTGCTTAGGATCTTAAAAAGTCAACTTAATTAAGTCAGCGTTCGAAGTGCTCAGAAAACATAACCCATAGAGGTACGATGTGTTCTCACTATTCTCTCAAAGTTGGTAATAGTTTTCATTTTGTGTCAGGTCATTTTAATAATTTCCTTTCTGATTTTACGCAGATATTACATTGTATTTATCCAGTGGAAAACAATCAAGCAACTGTACCAGAAATAAAAATACAGTCAGGTTTAAAGGGGAACTGACACTATTTTTTGCAAACCCAATACCTAGCTAAACGTTAACTGTGCATTGTGAATTTTTTTTAATGCACTTTTACAATACAATGGCCGGTGATACATTACATTTACAATACGATTGAGATCATGGCCAGTTGTGCGGGAGCCTTCTGAGCAGATACCCAAGTGCATGAGTCTGGATCTGTAAAAGACAACAGTCATCTCACTTTTTAAATTGATTGATTGATTGTTTCCAGAAAATGTCACTTTTAATCTGCCTGAACAGCCATGTTGGCTCATGCTCTACTGTTATCTAACCAACTGCTGCTCAAACTACCGTATTTTTTGCTCCATAAGACGCACTTTTTTTCCCCTCAAAAGTGAGGGGAAATGTCTGTGCGTCTTATGGAGCGAATGTGAAGATGATGAGCCTAGCCTGAGTCGGTTGCTGCCAAGGGCCAGGGAATTTCCCGCGATCGAAAGGAAGTGCACACTCAGTGTGCACATCTCCTTTCAGGGTCCCGGCCGAAACCGAACCTGAAATAGAAGTTCCTGGACTCATGGAGCGCTGTGAAGCCGGCCCACGCTCCAAGACAGGCAAGTAATTATGGGACAATGGGAGGGGAGACACTATGGGAGAAGGGGAGGGGAGACACTGTGGGAGAAGAGGAGGTGAGACACTATGGGACAAGGGGAGGGGGAGACACTATGGGACAAGGGGAGGGGGAGACACTATGGGACAAGGGGAGGGGGAGACACCATGGGACAAGGGGAGGGGGAGACACCATGGGACAAGGGGAGGGGGAGACACCATGGGACAAGGGGAGGGGGAGACACCATGGGACAAGGGGAGGGGGAGACACCATGGGACAAGGGGAGGGGGAGACACCATGGGA